ACTTTAATGTTAGTAGTATGTGAATGCGCATATATTTTGTTATCGTATCTACTTTTTTCTAAATTGCTTCCCCCCCAGCAATATTGTCCTTGTAACGCTGCAGGTACTTGTATAAATAAATAAAAAATAAAAAGACTGTAACCGTTTGCAAAGCTATCACAAAATGGCATCAGCCCCCTTTTTCTTCACAGCCACTTCTCTGTGCATTACATTGTGGGTTGGCTTGAAAAGCATACACATGGAGTAAAAGCGGTCCTGACACTATGCTCACTGAAAGAGAAACAATAACTAGGCTAGTTGGTTAAAATGTATGGTTTTGCCGCTTATCTAAGTGCACAAGTGAACACCTGTTATCCTTCTTTTTTTTTGTCTTTTGTGTACAGTTATACTAGTTGAAATTGTGCTTACTGAAGCAAGTAGGCAGCTATCGGATATATTGACTGTACTAAAGGGTTGGACTATTGGACACTGCTGTTTTCACTAATGTGACATAGTGCGTGAGCACATTTATGCAGTTGACAATCCTATTATGTGTGTGCTTTCTCTGTTTTTTGTCGCTTTTTACAGCGAAAGCTGCTATGAGCTCACAACTCGGGTCACGTGTCACCATAGTTATTCGCCGCCACCAGTGTCCGTAACCACATCGCACGAAATTAGAAGAAACACCTAGTGCCAATGACACAGCGGGGCTCCAACCCAGGTTCTGCTGGGTGCCAGCCCAGTATTCAACCACTGAGCCACGCCGGTGCTTGAGACTTGTTGGCAAACTTGCCTTAGGCAGGCTTGATATCGGGAAACAAATCGCGTTAATACGATTTATAGAGCGTTTCAAAACAGCGAAAAAATAACCAGTCGTCGCACAATGCGAATAAAGCAACGAGTGGGTCATCCAATGCTCCAATTCAATTCAAGAGCTTGTTCTTGTTTACCTATCAACTGTGGCGCATACCGATTTTAGGCATAATTTCTCATCGTCGTCAGCCACTGCATGAACAATTTGCACGAAATGCAAGTGTTTAGCAGCTTATTTATTTACTTATTTATTTATTGGTACTGCAATCCCCTGGAGGGATTTTAGCAGGTCGGTACAAAAGACGTAAACATCAGCATATAACACCACCAGGCAAACAGATAGAACAGCCTATCACATTTCACATAGTAGGCAGCCATATAACACAAAGCAAACAAATAACTATCACTTGCGTTCTACAATGTAAACAAACGTAACAAAAATTTTACCGATGACACATCACTCTCATTTTAAGAAAAGAAAACCGAACTAGCACACAAGTAAAATTATTTTCTCTGTTGTTCGAGACAGTGGCAAAGGATGTTAAAGACTGTGTTGTGACTTGATGGTTATTTAAACTATTCCAATCCTGCACAGTTCTGGGGAAAAAAGAATATTTGAAGCAGTTATTGCGGGTACGAAAGGGAGTTACTGTACGATCATGGCGTTGTCTGGTGGCGTAACCTGAAGAAAATGAAATAATTTTTCCGATGTCCATCTTGTAATGCCCATTAATTATTTGATATAAATATTTTAATCGGGATATGCGGATTCTTTCTGAAAGTGAAAGTAAGTTAGCTCTTACTAACAGTTCATTTACCGAGGTTCGTCCATAACTGTTATATATGAAGCGAACGGCTCTTCTTTGTACTTTTTCGACTTTATGAATGTTAGTTCGAGTAAATGGATCCTAGATCACTGCAGCATAATCAAGTATGGGGAGGACTATCGGTTTGTAAGCAAGTACACGGACAGATGGAAGGGAGAGTTTCAAAGTCCTTCGTAAAAAGAACAGTTTCTGATTAGCCTTGGAAGTTACTATGTCAATGTGTTTTGTCCAGTTAAGATTATTTGTTATCCATAACCCAAGATACTTGTAGGATTGAACCTCGGAAAGAATGGCATTGTTTGTAAAGTATTGAAAATTTAATTTGTTTTTCTTATGAGAAATGGACATGTACACTGTTTTTTCAAAATTGATGGACATTCGCCAAGCCTCGCACCAGGAAACAACCCTGTTAAACGACTCGTTTAACAAAACTTGGTCTTTTGAGGATTCTATTTCAGAATAAATAACGCAATCGTCCGCGTAGAGCCTTATATTTACAGGTATACCGTTTACTATGTCCTTAATATATAAAATAAATAGAAGGGGACCCAGAACGTACCCTTGGGGGACGCCAGAGTCAACGGAAACCCTGTGAGAAGAATGATTGTTAAAATCTACAAACTGTTCCCTGTTTTTCAAGTAGGCCGATATCCATTTAATAAGTTGATCATTCCCGAGAATTTTTTCTAATTTGTATACTAATTTATTGTGCGAAACCTTGTCAAAAGCTTTTGAAAAATCCATAAAAATTGCATATGTTTGTTTTCCATTATTAATTGAAGTAGCGAAGTCGTGTATTGTTGATACCAATTGTGTCGTTGCAAATCCCTTCCTGAATCCATGCTGATGTTGGTTTAAGATACTATGTTCGTCCAGAAAACATGAAATACTATTGTGTATAATGTGTTCCAAAAGTTTACAAACGGTTGAAGTTAGCGAGATGGGGCGATAATTTTTGACACTCTGCTTGTTGCCCGATTTATGGATAGGCTTGACTCTAGCTGTTTTCCAGTCGTCTGGAACCTGGCCCTCACGCAGCGATTTTGTAAAAAGAACATGGAGGTATTTCGACATCCATTCAGCGTATCTCTTTAAGAACCGATTAGGGATATTGTCCGGTCCAGAGGACTTTCTGATATTAAGGTTCACAAGCATGTTCAATATGCACTGTTCACTAACAACAATATCGGGCATTCGCGACGAAACAGTTTCAAAGATCGGTAATACAGAGTTGTCACAAGAAAAAACAGATTTGAAGTGATCGTTGAAAGCATTTGCAATTCGAGCAATATCATGCGTAAGAATACCATCGACATTAAAAACGTCACACTCTTTTGAAGCGGGCGAAATGCTTCTCCAAAATTTCTCGGGACTCGAGGTCAAGTAATGCGGCAAGGATTCCCCAAAATAACGCTGCTTATCTGTTTGAATTTGATTTTTCAGTTTTACTGAAAGCTTATCTATTTGTTCTGAATACGCTACGTTCAGACTTCGTTTTTTCTTTAGACGCTTTATTTGCCTTCTTAACATCAGTGTTATCCGAGAAATTCAGGGATTTCTTCGCTTCGATTTTTAATTTACCAGAGGCACAAGTGATTCAATGAATTCTTTGACAATGTCCTTAAACCAGTTCCATAAATTATGTATATCAGTATTATGTATATCATTAGTAAATTATGTATATAATTAGTAAATTATGTATATCATTATTCGCAAAGTTATCAAAGTTGAATGAAAGGACATCTATGATAGCAGTATCATCTGCACGATCGAAATTAGGGAAAGATAAACAGGGCAATGTCTTATCGAACACTGTGTCACTTAGAGTAAATAGTACTGCATGATGATTGGAAATGCCCGGATATATCTCAGTCGTTTCTTTAGGTGCAATTGCCTGGTTAAAGAAGAAAAGCTCTAGGGTTGACTGAGTGGTCCCTTGAATTCTTGTGTAGCCTTCAACTAGCTGAAGGAGGTCAAAAATGTAGCAAATATCAAGCATAGCTTCCTTCACCCGAAGGGTCGCACTGCTTCAGGGTAAATTTTTTCCAATCTACATTAGGTAAATTATAATCACCTGTCATCATAATCCGGTCATCATGCTTAATATTCAGTTTCAAATAGTTTTTCAATTCATTCAGTACGTCAACAGGAGCGTTTGGGCGCCTATAAACACCTCCTATAATGTAACAGACATCGTTGTGATAAGCCTTACAAAAAATACCTTCTACTCCTGGCACATCATCCATTCTACATATTTTAAGGTTATCCTTGAAAAGTACACAAACGCCGCCGCCTTTACTAGCCCGGTCATTTCTGTATGCGCTGTAGCCAGACGGAACAAATTCACTATTAAAACTGAGTCGCTTAGCCACGTTTCCGTCAAGACAGCAATAGCAGGATCATGAGAAAGTATTAACGCCTCTAATTCAGTGGCCTTATTAAGAACGCTCTTACAATTTACATTTAGTATTTTTGTGCGCCATAGTGCTTGTTTTTGTGTCAATTAGATTTTTTTCTTCAGCCGATAGCGTGACCCTTTCCTTCGTCCCATGCAAACAAGACGTCATCAACCTTAAGCTTATCATAAACTAGCTTTGTCTTACAGCCACGCAGCCTTTCCTCCTCTGAACTTTTCCACTATTGCTTCCGTATTTCTCGAACTCGTTTGGAAAAGTCTTCAGACAGGGACGATGTGCTTCCCTTTAATTTAAATGCACTCGACAAAACGTTAGTTTTTTCCCGGTAATCAAAAAATTTTATGATCACAAGTCGTGGCCCGGCCTTTGTTTTTTTGCCAAACCTGTGACATCTTTCAATGCCTGTTACCGTTATTTCCAACTTCTGCTGAAAAATATCTTCCTCTATTTTAGCTTTCAGGTCCTCATACTTCTCGTCAGGGGGCTCCTCTAACCCGTAAATGATTAAGTTATTTCTGCGGCTTCTATTCTCAAGGTCATCTACTTTGTCAATAAGTGTTGATACCTGCTCTTCAAGCTTTGATGTTGACACCTTCATATTCTTAACGTCGGTAGACAAACTGCTAAGTTCATTCAAATTCTGTTCGAGGCTGTCTATACAATCTGCTAAACCTGAAATTTTTTTTTCAATTTTTACTTGCGATTCCTCAACGCGTTCAACAACACAAGTAAGCTTCTTTTGTCCTTCCAACAGTTCCTTCAACATATCTTCGTTAGGAGGCCCTGGGTTTGATTCAATATCCCCACATGCCAAAAGATCCCTTGATAACAGAACAACACTATTAAGAAAGCAATGAACACACAGTGGGCAGGGCAGCAGCACTAAAAATCGGTCATCACTACGTATACAATAAGCAAGATGGTGATGACTAACCTGAAGCACAAAGCAAAAAGGATTGCTCACCATGTTGCCCGTTGTGCTGCAGCCATGCCCACTGGCGAACGACGCAACCGGGGGAGCTTTTATAGACCTTGAATACGGCACGTGATGTGACTTCACAGTCGTAGATAGCCACGCTGGCACGATGAAGTGAAGTTCAGCTGTGTCACACGTGTTGTTCTTGACATCCGCCGTCCATTGCAGAGCAGGCCCCGGTCCGTGTTGTGCGCATGTCCTTTGGAGATAGTCTGGTGCCAGATAGATACCCAGAAAAACCTGAACCACAAAGCAAAAAGGATTGCTCAGCATGTTGCCCGTTGTGCTGCAGCCATGTCCACTGGCGAACGACGGAACCGGGGGAGCTTTTATAGCCCTTGAATACAGCACGTGATGTGATGTCACAGTCGTAGATAGCCACGCTGGCACGATGAAGCGAAGTTCAGCCGTGTCACACGTGTTGTTCTTGACATCCGCCGTCCATTGCAGAGCAGGCCCCGGTCCGTGTTGTGCGCATGTCCTTTGGAGATAGTCTCGTGCCAGATGGATACCCAGAAAAACCTGAAGCACAAAGCAAAAAGGATTGCTCAGCATGTTGCCCGTTGTGCTGCAGCGATGCCCACTCTTCTCAAAAGAATGATGAAAAATAGCATAGCGAATGCTGGCCTACTACGAAATTTTTATTGATAATGCCGTAGTGGGTACCAAGCAGGTGTGGTTGCAGTAGTTACCCAATGAGTCTTTAGAAAAGGCTCTAAAAGGCCGCTCTTCTAGCTTTCGCTGTGACTGTGCTTCGTCTTATGCGCAGGCCTGGCATTTATTTTTTGTGCACTTTTGTAGTTATGAATAACCAACTCGCCCAGCGTCCAGTACTGGTAAGCAACCATGAAGTTCCCACACTAACTCGCTGAGAGTTCTTGCTATCATGTACACAGTCAGAGATCATTAAAGATGAATTACACCGTGCCCTAACAGAGCCAGAAACTTTACCAACTCGCCCAAAAAGAAGTTCTTTTGGCATACCATTTAGAAGTGAACGTTGCTGGGCATGTTCAATTAGAAGCCACAGTTGTTGCTGTTTCGCGCGAAGAAATAACGATGGAAGGTGTCAAGGAGAACGCTCCCTTCCTTTGTTATTTCTTTGCGTGAAATAGCCACAGCTGCGGCTTGTAATTGACATACCAAGTTTTTGTCAGTTTCATTGAGTTAGTTTGGCCAAAATACAACAGAACAGTAAGACAGTAAGTTGGGCCAGTTGGTTAGGATCCATCGTGAACTTATTTACAGCTCAACACCAGAAAAACATAGGACAGGGAAGGAGCGCTGTCTTTTCTTTCTCTTTTGCTCCTTCCCTGTCCTGTATTTTTCTGGTGTTGCGCTGTAAATAAGTTCACAATACAACAGAACATCAGTGACATCACACTTAGGTTTTTGTGCAAGGATTAAAGACAGAAAATTTGCACTCTCTTCAATTAACGATAGCAAAATTAACTGGCAGCAGCTTTAAAAAGCTCACTGTATTAGAGGAAGACAAATGATGCCGGGATGTTAATCGTAACGTAAAGTAGCGGCATGGACTGAACTTGCGACATTCAAATAACGTGTCCGATGCAACTGAGCCATAGAAGCAGTCATCTATTTCATGGGGTATATATGTGCATTTAAACCTGGGCGCCACTAATAGGCATGGTGGCAAATGCAAAACACTTCTGCTGATGAATCTCACCTTGTTTCCAGAGAAGGAGCCCGAGTCATGCAGGATGGCGACACGCAGCGGGGGGCACCAGCAGTGGAACTCTCGCACCCACTGGTGCATCACAGTGGTCGGGCACACAAGAAGCACGGGGCCCAGGCCTGTGAAACTGAAAGCACCCACTGCATGATAGACCGGCTACCTGTGTCACACATGCAAAGTTTAGGTGGCTTCCCAACAGATAGTCTCAATGATAAAGCACCAGCTGCTACATGAGATGCTTTTAAGGCCGCCGTGTCAATAGTCAATCGAATCAGCAGAGTACCCCACAACTGCATTGAAACTTCAATGGCCCTTGAATGACGGGATTACAAAAGCATTTGAACATTATGAATTATTTGACACATCACTTGTTTCTGCAAATTTTATCTATTATGGGCTGAGAAAGAGCTAGACTTAATGAGCTCTGGCTGAATTGAAGTTCTTCCTCCAGGATATTGTCTTCTTCATTTCCCAATGTGCACATGATCGCTCTTCCAAAAGCACAATTGACATGTCGTTCGAAGCACCACTTCCTGCAAGACATGTGAAATACAATACAGCACAACTTTTTTTTCCCTACTTATTATTAACATAACCAAAAATGAACTTGTGTCATATTTCTTGCCTGAGATTTCATACAGTTTATGCAAAAACAGAGCATCACTGATTTCAGAATAGACACATATTTAGTTTGGAGTAGTAGCTATAACACACATAGATTAACATATTGCAGTTAAACCTCTTTATAAGTGGCATGCTCGAGGCAGCAAATCTTGTCTTTAAGATGATATGTCTCTTATAAGCAGGGTACGTTGTATGCATTTTCCTATCAGCCCGTATTTTATTATAGGCACACTGGTGTCTCTTTTATCCATTTGTCTCTTATATCAGTGCCTCTTGTAATGGGGTTCAGCTGTATGACATTTTTTTTTTGTTGGAATACACTATTGAACGCCTTGAAACAATAATGTAACAATATCACACAGAGACAGTTCTGTATAGATGGTACTTGAAAGGGTTAATGAAGTATTTTTACCACTTAGAATGTGTGAACTGCTGATACTCTTGACAGCAGTGACGTGCATGCTGTTTGCCTTGTCTTACTCACAGCAGTTTCACTGCTCAACAGCTTAAAAATAAAGTATGTATTCCTAACTACATATAAATAACTTATTAAAATGGGGAAACAAAAACTGACAATTTTTGAGTTTAGGAGAATTTTTATTATTCAACATTAGGAGACATGCATGCGAAAATAAAGAGTGGCAGAGTCCCACAACTTTTGCAGAAAATGTCTAAACCACTTCATGGCCATTTCAAACTGCCGTGTAACAGTGTAGCAACTACATACAGTCAATAAAGCTGTGGTGGCCATCGACTGGATAGCCTTTCGAAATAGGCACAGGTATAAAAGAACACTAGCTCACTGGCACTGGCTGGCGCTTGCATGTGCACATGAAACTGCCTATACGTGTGATGAGCTTTGTGCAGATGTTGCCTCATGCTAAGAGCAGCCAAACAACAGCAGGAGGATGGAAAGCAACAAGTCTGAAAGCCAGTTAGCACAAGAGTCTGTAGGATGTAATTTGCAAGAGTGGAAGCTAGTTGGTGTGTAGTCGTATAATGGCAAGTTTTTTTTTCAGGGCGCGAACATAGGAAAAAAGGACAGAGTAGACAGAAAGAGTGCCGGCTTCACTTGTCACTGAAAAAAACTTGCCAGTAATACCTGTAGGATGCCAGCATGGCAAGCACTGAGATGGGTGCTAATCCATTAGCTTCTGTTGGCCACATTTTCTGTTACGCTTTATTTGACTGCTCCTTGCAAAGACAAGCTCTTTAAGCAAGGACCAAAGATAGAGAAGGACAAGCACCAGGAGTAGGAGTGGGCTTCAATCTCTTGAAGCAGCTAATAATCATCATCTCATCAGCTTGCAGGGCCTCCCTCACGTGCCACAATCAACCAGATCCTGCGCTTTGAGCTGAAACTTTGTAGCCGCAAACTTCTCAACCTCCCCTCCCTCGTTTGCCTTCTCTTGCGATACAGTCAGTTAACGAACATAGGTTATCTTGCTTTACGTGTCCAGCCCATGCCCATTTCGTCAACTATAATTTCTTCAACTGTTCCCCGACCTATCCTATTCTTTCTCTGTCTCTCAAGTCTACACCTACCATTTTGCTTTTCATTACTGCGTCGTCCTCTATTTAGGCTGAACCCTCGGTGTGAGCCTCCAGGTTTCTGCTACATAAGTAAGTACAAGTAAGGTGCAGCTTTTACACACGCTGTCATTTTTTATCAAAGGGACCACACGTGGCGTGTTGTTTGTCGCAGCTTTCTACAGCGCCATCACTTGACAGTCAAAGGAAGCATGTCTGCTCCTGATGTCACCTATTGGCAAACAGACTAATGAGTCATGGGTGGCGGACAAGTGTGGCTACATTACGCTCTCTTTCCACTCACAAAAAAGATTCTGCTTCTTTGAGCTTGTGCCTTTTACGTTACGTAAAGAACATCATTTAAAAATTTTACAAATACCAGAAACATTTTTTTGGCTACATTTATTTAATCATTTATTCATAATACCTTACAGGCCCCCAAGAGCATTGAGTAGGGGGGGGGGGGGGGTAGAGAAAATTCCCCATAAATATACCATAAAAAAAACTGCATCAAAGAAAAATAATGAAGAAAATTATGCAATGGAAGAGAAAAGAACAAGCGCTGTAGTATATTGTAGTAAAATACGAAATGAGAAAAAAAGCACATCTTTATACGAAAATCAAGGCAACATATTAACTTGCAAATACTCACGGAATTTCACAGAGTGTCTTAACAAAACAATTTCATTAGAAAGACTGCTCAAAATTGTGATGGCACGGGGTAAACCAGAATTATTGAATGACTGTGTGTGGCCGAAGACGCATCTGAAACTGAGATGATTATGAAAACGACGCAATGTGCACGAAGAAGCTTTAACAGAGGGACGACTGGTCTAAGAGTTGTAGTGGTATTTATGAAACATGCATAGGAGGGTGACAGAGCGGCGAAAATCTATGTTAGGAAGGGCAATATCGCGTTTGGTATGGGTGATGCTGGAATAGTGATAGTATATTAAAGTTATGAAGTGGGCTGCACAATTTTGGATGGATTCCATTTTATCTGTTAAGATATTGTTGATTAGGAGACCAGATTGATGAAGCATATTTTGATTGAGGGTGTACAAAAGTTAGGCCGGCCTGTTGCCATACGAAAGATGAGGAATGATGCACATTTTGGTGCGAAAATCGCAGAGTTCTATTGGCTTTCACGCATAACTTTTCGATGCTCCCGCTTTTATGAATTGGAATTACCTTTGCACACAACCAGTCTGCAGGTAAAGAAGCTGTTAGCAGGGATGCTTTAAAAATTGTTTCAAGGAAGAGACACAGTTGCTCTGCGTAGCGTCGAAGGAATACATTTGAAATATTGTCAGGACCCACTGATTTCTTAACATCGATCTGCAACAGCAGGTTCAGAATACCTTCCGTAGTGACAACGACATCGGGCATTAAAAAAGGATGCACCGGAGCAACAGGGCTGCTTGGTGCGCATGCACGTGTAAATACCGCCTGAAAATACCTATTGAAAGCATAGGAAATGGCCTGCGCGTCCTTTACGATAGTGCCCTCAATTTCTACTTCAGTTGTTGGGTTTTCAAGCCGTGCCAAGAAACGCCAAAATTTTTGCGGCTGATCCGTCATGAAGTGAGATAACGTATGTGAAAAAAAAGTTTGTCTTGCATTTCTAATTTCCGCCTTAAGCTGAGATGCAAGTTCCTTTAAGATGATTGGATTCCTCTTTTTCTTGTGCATTCCCTGTACCCTTCTTTTAAGGTGAATAATACGGCGATTGATCCATGGTGTTTTTCTTTGTGTGCGTTTTAGTTTCGTTGGGATAAAATTTTGTTCACAGTACGAAATTATTTTTTTCAGTTGAATCCACATACCATTAACACGCTCACATTCCTCTAGAGAAAAAGTCTCTAGTGCTGTGTCGAGGTAATCAATAACACAAACATCATTATATCTGGTGTAATCTTTCACGGCTATCCATGAATTTGTGCCATCGGGTTTGGTATTTAAGCATTCAAGGTTAAAAGTTATGATTAAAATTTTGTGGTCAGATATTCCATCTTCTACAGTGGCTTTACCGGATAGGTTATCGGAAAGAAAAGCTAGGTCTAGTATGGAGCGAGTGTTTCCTTGAATTTGGGTTGGTTCCTGGACCAACTGGGACAATGAAAAATTGAACATTAAATTGTATAATAGCTCGCTGTTGGCGGTATTTCTAGTACTTGTTAAGTTTTCCCGGTCAATAGCGAGATTGAAATCTCCAGTAAGTATTAATTTGGTACGGGGGGTAACCTTATCAACCAGATAGTCATGTACTTGTAAAAGGTAATCATCAGACGCATTAGGCTTTCTGTAGATGCCACCGATCAGTACTGGAGCATCGTGAGCAAATATTGTGCACCAAACGCTTTTGTGATTTGCGATACCCTTTTCTCTACGATATTGCAAACCACCTTTATTGCAATGGCGACCCCGCCCCCGCGACCGTCACGATCTGACCGAAGTAGGCAGTATGAAGAAGGAAGAATTTCAAAATCAAGAATGTCTGCGTGCAGCCACGTTTCAGTTATCACGACAATATCAGGAGTGTACGAAAATAACAATTCTTCTAGCTTGTCAGTTTTGTTAACAATGCTACGGGCATTCAAACATACCAATGAAAACGGTGTGGCAGCTTGCAGGTGTCACGCGTTGCTTTTCGCGTGACCATCGTGACGAACCCTTCTCAGGGAAACTCATGCATTTTTTGCTTCATCCCATACGTACAAGTCGTCATCTATCTTTAGTTTATCGAATACAAGAGTGACCTTAGCACCATTTTCCCGATCTTCCTTTGCTGATTGCCATAGTTTTTTGCGCAGGTCCCGAACTCGTGCGGAAAAGTCTTCAGATATTGATATCGCTGTTCCCTTCAGTTTGCCGATATTACGAAGGACTAACATTTTTTCAGAGAAATTGTACAGCTTAAGAATTACTGGCCGCTCTCGATTTTGTATTTTCCTGCCAATTCGGTGCATGCGT